GCACCTGACCCAAGCCATGGTACTTTCAATAATCTCATATGCATGCAAAAGCTGGACAGTGAGTAAGGAAGACCGTAGAATTGATGCTTTTGAGTTATGATTTGGAGGAAAGTATTGAAGGTGCTCCTTAGAGGCCAAGATGGCTAAACTTCGTCTCTCATACTTTGGACATATTGTCAGGAGGGTACAGTCGCTGGAGAAGGATATCATGTTTGGTAAGATTGAGGGTCAGAGAAAAAGAGGAAGATCCCCAACAAGATGGAATGGACAAGTGGCAACATTGATGGACTCAAGTGTGGCAACAGCAGTGAGGTTGGCCCAAAATTGGACATTGTTTCATTCTGCTGTGCATAAGGTTGCTATGAGTCGGTGCTGACTCAATGGCAGCTAACAACAACATTGAAGGTGCTATGGGCTGCCAAAAGAACCAGTAACTGCGTTTTGGAAGAAATGCAGCCAGAGTGCTCCTTGGAGGCCTAGATTGCCAAACTTCGTCTCTCATACTTTGGACATATTGTCAGAAGGGACCAGTCACTTAAGAAGGATATTATGTTTGGTAAGTTGGAGGGTCAGAGAAAAAGAGGAAGACCCCCAATGAGATGGATTGGCCAAGTGGCAGAATTGATGGACTCAGAGTGGCAACAATAGTGAGATTGGCCCAGGATAAGGCAGTATTTCATTCTGCTGTGCATAAGGTCACTATGGGTTGGTACTGACTCGATGGCACCTAACAACAACAACAAGGCCATCCACTTGTGACAGTATATAATTAAGACAGCACCTAACAACAAAGAAGTAAAATATGATTGTTTTCTAACAAAACACTTAATAACAAAAATTAAGTCTTTAATATAAGACTAACTACATAGTGCTAAACTTGTAACATATTTTCAAACATTTCAGATATAAGCCAGTAAGAGCTGGACCTGATTATTTTTTATTGCCACCCAATAAATCCAGACAATAAACATAATTATTTCTACACCCAATAACAAGTATTGATTCCCAGACAACAGGAGAAGAGAAGACCTCTCCAGGAAGTTCATATACACTTTGCAATTGGCCACTCTTCGATTCCAAGATCCACAGTTTCCCATCAGTAGATGCTGCTGCCAGCAATGTTTCATCACTACAACTGTGGTTCTGGAAAGTAAATGGTGTTGCATACACCCTTGATGTAGTTTCAAATTTCCACTGGAGGTGTCCTTTCATGTTACAACAATAGATAAAGCTATCATGGGAGCCAAAAAAGATCTCTTGCTCTGATGGTGAGGTACATAGGGATGAAAAAATTGGTCCACTGGTAGAGAACTGCCAAACCTGAAAAGAGAGATAAATGCAATGACAATTCATTCATCCAACTGCAACAATTTTCTCTCAGATTAAAGTCTTAAGGCTCTTAATGAAAATGTATGATTGTTGTTGTTGTTGTTAGGTGCCATCGAGTCGGTACCAACCCATAGCGACCCTATGTACAACAGACGGAAACAGTGCCCAGTCCTGGGCCAACCTCAAAATTGTTGCCATGTTTGAGCCCATTGATGCTGCCACTTTGCCAATCCATCTCGCTGGGGGTCTTCCTCTTTTTCTCTGACCGTCCACCTTTCCAAACATGATATCCTTCTCCAGCAAGTGGTCCCTCCTGACAACATGTACCAGTCCATTTCAGCTCATTAATGCTAAGATACTGATGTTTATGTGTTCCATTTCATTTTTTGACAATTTCCAATTTTCCTAGATTCATACTTCATACATTCCATGTACCAATTATTAATGGAGGATGCTTACAGCTGTTTCTCTTCATTTTGACATGTGCCCCATCAGCAAATCAAGGTCCCGTGGGTTTTACTCCCACAGACTTTACTCTATTCCTGTCATCTTGGTCAACTCTACTTTGAGGAGGCAGCTCTTCCCCAGTCGCATTTTGAGTGCCTTCCAACCTCAGGGGTTCATTTTCCGACACTATATCTGACAGTGTTTCTCTGCTATTCATAAGGTTTTCAGTGACTAAGTATTCGGAAGAAGTTCATCACTCTTTCTTCCTAGTCTGTCTTGGTCTAGAAGCTCATCTGAAACCTGTCCACCATGGGTGACCCTGCTGGTATTTAAAATACCAGTGGCATAGCTTCCAAAATCACAGCAACTAACAAGCCACCACAGTATGACAAACTGACAGACGAGTGGTGGGAAACTGTATGATTGGCAGGCTATTTTAATACTAACTACACACAGAGAACCTGGTGTGGCACTGTGGGTTAATGTGCCAGACTGCAAAGCCGTTTGAACTGCAAGGTTGGTGGTTCAAGCTCACCATCTGCTCCTAGGAAACCCTATACAGGGTCACTATGGGTCAGAACCTACTCGACGGCACTTAACAACAACAAACACACAGAGGAAATGATTTTTAGGGTTTCTGCTCCTGCAAAGATGCATACAGAAAGAGGGAGCCTAGATCCAGAGGGCGTGGAGGAAGGTAGAATCTCCACTGAGTAGTATTCAATCTGTCTGGGCAGGGTTGATGAAAGGAGATTGGGATAGGTCTCTTGTGGTACAGTGGTGAATAATTGCTATCAGGACTGACTGTGAGGGTTGGAAATGTAAAGGTAGACGCTGTGTAGCAAAAGGAGGGGAGTGATTGACTTTGCAGTCCAGGAGTGGAGGTCCCTGGGACCATCTGGTAGTGTGAGACCACTCCCTGGGACCAAGCGGAGTGTGGGACCCTACCCAGAGAAGCCGTGATGCCGGTGATGTAGGCAGAGACAATGACGTGGAGAGATGGAGCAGTTGGAGAAT